TTTTGTTTTTTCCGATACAATTTTCGGGGCTGGTGTTGTCCAAGGTTGCTGGGAATGAGCAGAAGATGGTTTAGGCTTAGGAGTAGGGGGTGGTGCAAGGTTTGATGGGGAGGTCGAAAGAGTCGCAAAGGCAGGAGTTTGTCGCGAACGGGCAAGCGGACGAGGAGAAGTGGGTTCAGAGTCTTGGGTTCCACGGCCCCTTTTGCGGCTTGTCATTTTGTTGGGTAGTAGGATCGTGGCATGTGGAGTGAATGTGGAAAGTGAGGAAGCATAAGAAGGAAGCTGGAAAATGAAATGTAGTTATTAGGTGGTGTAGCGCGAGAGGTCGCGTGAAGCGAGAGGTGCTATTCTACCACTAGACCACTGGCACTAGGCGGATGTGAGACTGATTTGCGGCGATGGCTAAATCGGGTGATGTAGTGGACGAGATGGGGTTCTGGAGTATTTGGGTAGTGTGCTGAGATTGTGGGGTATTAGTGTGATCTGATAGGATGATGCAATCATGGGACTGTCTCCTCCACATTAAATGGTTGACACAAGAGACAATGGGGTGCAAAGGGCACTGGTGGCGCCACAGGAGGCAAATGAGAGCACCAACCTGATTCGGTAGAGATGAGTGATCGCTGATGGGTGTGCGAGTGTAGAGGCGGCAAGGAACGGATGCTACTGGCTGGACTAGGCACAACTGTAGCATCCATTCCCTGCCGGAAAGAGAGAGAGGGGGAGAAAGCAAGGCGGGTTGGAGCTAGTGCTGGCTGCACTAAGCACACCTGCGGAAGTGGGGGATGGCAATGGGGTTGGGGATGGGGAGGGGGGCGTTGATGGAGAAGAAGGGGATGGGGGAGCGGAGGGAGAAGTGGATGGGAGTGGAGAAAGGGACGGGGATGGGAAAATGGTAGGGGATGGGGATGGGGGGACAATACTGTTCCAAGAGTGACGTGTCACTGACCCAGTAGTGACCCACTGGTGATCCACGATTAGCCCCTTGCACCACTGACTCACCTTCTTCACCCAGCCAGCAATGAAGAGTACCAGTGAACATCAGCAGTAAGGTGTGGTAAAGAGAAATTATCTTGGCACAGAGTGCACCCAGCAGCCCACAAGGCCACTGGTTGCCCGTGAACAGTGTGCTTGTGCCCCAATGGCGGGAATCCGTGGGGCGGGAGTGGGTGTAGAAGCAGGTGCGGAGCTGGAAAGCATGGGAGGGCGGGGAAAGGAGGGAAAATGATCAGCGTGATGGTTGGATCACATATGATAATCCTCATGAGAGAATGAAATGAAGCCAGCTAGGAGGGAGTGAGCGGGGGAGAGTTGAGGGAGGTAGGGAGTTGAGAGGGGGAGAGGGGGGTGAGGGGATCTGAGAGGGAGAGAGCAGGGAAGGGAAGGAGGGAAGGGAGTGGTGCCATGGTGGGAAGGATAGCATGAGGGTTTGGGTAGGCGGACGACAAGTGAGGGTGCAGGAGACGCAGGCGCACAGCTGGGGGCAATCATTACGCTTCCGGCAGCGGCGCCGCCGGCAGTGGTGCAGCGGTGGGTGCGAGGCATCACTCCAGCGAGGCGAGGCAAGGCGAGTCGAGGCTTGTCCGGCTTGACCCCTGTGGTGCCTGTGCACGCACATCGCAGGCCCAGCCATTTTAATAGGCCCACGTAGATTCGACGAGGTCGAGTCGCAAGACGGGGCACTTAGCCTAGAGTCGCGGTAGACAACTGGGATCAGGGGAGGGGTGTGAGAGGGGTTGGGAGGGGTAGCGTAAGGGGCTGGGGGCGGAATGAGAAGCAGAAAAGAGAAGGGGAAACGGATGGGGAAGGGACAAGCGAAAGGGGAGTGCGTGAAGGTAACAAGAAGGGATAGGTTTAAGACAGTCCTGAGGTGGTGCCTGGACAAGTTGTGGGTGCGAGAGGGCATGGGAACAGCAAGCAGGAGCGGAGCAGAGCTGGATGGGTCAGAGATGAGGTGAGGGTTGGGAAAGGGGAATCGTGCATGGGTGGGTGGGAAGGGAGAGTTGAAGGGTGCTGTGGACAATCCTCTAAAACTTCCTGTGGAGATACAAGGCATCCTCGATAGCCCCCGCCAGCCGCATCAGCAGCCCTGCCTTCAGCAGCCCCTCCTACTCGTTGGAGTGACTCGAACATACATCATCCCCTCCCCACAGCGACTGCTCAGAGCCTCTCACACGCATGAATTTCACCCCCCCTCTCCCCACTCCCTTCTCCCGCCTTTCCTTCAACCCCCCTTCCCTTCCTTCTACCTCCCTTTCTTCACCACCCCTTCCTCCCCCCCTTTCTCCCAAGTATACCTCGCATGTACCTCCACCCCTCAGGGAGTCTGGCCTTGGCGTTTTGAGCTTGTCAACTGCTTGCCAGCCCATCAGCAGCCCCCTTTCATCGCCCCTTAGCCCCCTTTTCGCCCTCCTCCCCATGCTCCCCGCCACTGCTGCTGATGCCAACGCCGCTTGCACCGCTAACGCCTCTCGCCCACCTCCGCCACGGCAGCAGCCTCTGCCTTCGTGGCTGAACAGGGGCGAGAAATTCGGGCCAGGAACCAGTGCTGGAGTAGCAGGTGCAGTGCGGAGTGCTGGTGGGAAGAAAGACAGGGGAAGGGTTGGAGGAGGTGGGAAGGGGGGGGAAAGGTACAATGCGAGGGTGAGGTGAGAGCTGTGCGGCCACACCGTAAGGCCGCAAAACCGCCGGCCAGACGTCAGAATAGGAGCAGCAGGTGCAGCACTGAGGGGGTGGCTGGAGAAGGTGGGGGAGAAGGGAGAGGGTATGGGTACAGCGCGTGGGTGAGAGGAGTGCGGCTCCACCCTACCGGCAGGAATCCGTGGGGCAGACGTTGGCGTGGGAGAAGCGGGTGCTGGGAGGGGTGGGGAAGACGGTGGTGGGGAGGGGGAGGGTGTGGGGAAGGGAGCGAACGGTGCCTCGGCCTGCACTGGGTAAGCAGTGTGGCTGCGCCGTGTGGGGGGAGGGGGGGGGGGGGGGGGGGGGGGATACCCGTGCAGTGGGGCAGAGGTGGCTGCGGACTTGTGGTTGTGGGAGACGCAGGTGCGGTGCAGAGCTGGCTGGGTGGGAGTGGGAAGGGAGGGAAAGGAGGGAAAGTGGCAATGGCTCATAAGAGGGAAGTGGGGGAGAGATAGTGCTGTAGGGGCATGAATGCGTGGGTCACAAGTGGGTATAACAGAAGCAGGTGCGAAGCTGAGGGATGAGGGTGGAGAAAGGACGCTTTCAGTGCGTTAGTGACACGGATGCAGGAAGGAAGGATGTGGGCAAAGCAGGGGCGGAGCTGGGAGGGGAAGAGAGAACGAAGGAAAGTGGTTCAGAGGAATGGGAAAGGGGAGAGGAAGAGAGGTAGTGCCTTCGTAAGTGATGTGTTTGTGCAGTGGTGGGCGATGTCAGGAGTTCACAAGTCCGTGTATGTGGCATACACATGCGAGGCCAAATGGATGGAATGAGGGGGTTGATGCAATTGGGGCTGAGTGGAAAGAGGGAATCAGAGTGTGGATAGAAGAAAAGCAGAGATATTTGAGGGTAGAAAGGGGAATGGGTCTCACCTCGCCTTCAACCACCTTCTCAGCACACCTGGCCTGCCTATAAGTTCCACTCACTCTCACAACCACCCCACAGCCAGTCGCCCCAACTCCTCACTGGCTACTCACTGACTCTCAGGGACTACCACCTTGGCGACAGCCAGCTATTCAACTACCTGCCTGCTGCCCACAGTCACCCGCGAGTGGCTCGAGACTCTCGAGTGATTCCTACACGCTTCATTCACTCTCACCCTGGCAATATCCAGACTGTCAACTGCCCCTGTTGGTCCGGATTTGCCACCTCAGATAACTACCACCGCCTCAGAGCATTCAGCAGCAGGGCAGTCAGCTTCTTGCGGGTCAACACCCGAGACTGACCTGAGCAGAGAGAAACCTGAGTGAAACCTGGGAAAAATCTGCGAGTGACCTGCTGGTGAACCATGATTGGTCACACGCACCCCACACGCACCTTCTCCACCCATCAGTGTCTCGTAGCAGTGAGCAGCAGCAATGACACATCACATCACAATCCACCTCCTTACTCGCCCCATACGCCTTCTTCACCCACCAATGAGCCATTACAGCCCACCTCCTTCCTCACAGCACAGAACGAATCTCCTTCTTCCTCTGCTCCTCCGTGAGGAAAAGCACTGCCACGGGGAACCCACCCAGCAGCCCCGCCCAGCATCGCGTCACTAGTGATCTACCAGTGACTCACAAGGTTTCAACAGCCCAGCCCATCACCGCTCACTCACTCAGAGAGCACACATCTTCCCTCTAGGTGAACAGTGCGCCTATGCCGTACGGCTGGGAGTTGGTCCGCTAGACGTCTGTGTAGGAGAGGCAGGTGCGGAGCTGAGGGGTGGAAGGGGGAAAGGAGACTAATGGGCGTTGAAGGGAAAGTGGGCAACAGCCTTGGAAAGGAGTGCACTAAGCAGCCCGTGATGAGTGCGCCCGTGTTGCAACTCTTAGTTTGGGTATAGCCTCCGGCTAGCGTTGAAGGTAGTAAATGCTTGGAGAGAGTTTCTGGTTTTTTCAGGACTGATTTCACTCAAAACAGAGAAGTACAAAAAAACTGATTGAAAAAACAAACACATTTAAGCATTTCGAAATGTGATGTGCGCCTCGCGTAACGCGTCATCCGCGTTTCAGCCCGAGTCGCACGCGTAACTGAATTCGGTAACCGTCACCGGAACCGAAACCCGTTTGTCCCTTCCGCACCGAATACGGTTCGGTTTCGGTTGGACATTCTAGGCTTCGGAAATGTCTTCTCGACATTTCTTGAACCCTAGTCTTCCGTCATTCCGTTTCTCCCCGCTTTCTTCACGTTTTCCTTAGCTTCATAGCATGCAGCCCCACCGCTCTAGGTACCGGTTCCCCATATTAGGTGATAGTTTCCCACCGTTCCTAGTGTTGTTCTACTATCCCTAGGTTAGGCGCGTAAGCCGGTAGGCACTAGGGCAGTGGCGAACCACCCTAACAGTAGACATAGCCATAGGCTCCCCTCCCATCCTTCTTGTTTGATCCATGTGAGGCGTCAGCGTACCCCACTAGCTCTAGACTCTCCTCTCCTCCTTCAAACAACAGCCCCTCATCATCCCGCTGCAGAAGGTAAGTGATAGTCCGCTCCATCTCCTTCCACTTGCGTCCCTCTGGCTGCAACACCCTCTGCCCAAGAAAACTTGTAGCGTATGCCACATCAACCCGTGTGCATGACACCGGGTACATGACTGAGCCTACCATGGATTGGTAAGCTTTGAGCGCTTTCTCCTTGCTACCCCATGCCTCAATTTCTGCTCCCACATCGACCTCCTTATCCGCAAGGCTGCTGAGAGGTGTTGTCACTGGTTTGGTCTTGCATTGCCCTCCAAACCTCTCCCGCAACCTTTGAAAGTACTTCTTCTGGTATAGCAGCAACTTCTTCTGCTCCTTGTTCCTCTCTAGGTTCATTCCAAAGAAGAGAGTGGTCCTTGGAATCTTCTTCACCTGAAATACAGCTGCGAGGTGAGTGCACACCTCCTCCACCTTCTCTTCCTTTGCTCCAGCCACTAGGATATCATTCACGTAGAGGAGTAGGAACACCTTGTTCTCCCCCTCTCCCTTCCAGTAGAATGCACGGTCACATTGACTCTTGATGAACCCTCCTTTTTCCAGCTGCGCATCCATAGCTAGGTACCACTCCCGTAGGCTTTGTTTCAACTCATAAAGTGCTTTGATGAGTTAGCACTTTCTGTCCGTGCCGTCCTCACACCCCGGTGGCTGATTCATGTAGATAGTCTCCTTGAAAATGCCATAGAGAAAGGCATTTTTGATGTCCAGCTGCACCATGAAGTACCAGCGTGCCGTCACCACCTTAAGCATGGTCCTTGCCGTTGTTAACTTGCTAACGGGTGCGTAGAGTTGGTCGTAGTCCTCTCCTTCCACTTGAGTGTAGCCTTTAGCCACAAGACGTGCCTTGAAGCGTTCAAGTTGCCCCATGTCTCTCATTTTTATCTTGAAAATCCAGCGCACTCCCACCGCTTTCCTCCCTTTCGGCATGTTCACAAGCTCCCATGTCCCTCTTTCAGCCAAGGTATCAAGTTCCTCCTAGATTGCAGCCCTCCACTACTCCTTGTTTGGCCCGGTCAGCGCCTCTTCAATGGTAAGAGGCTCGGTGGGCAGCTTGTAGCTTTCCACCTTCCCCTTTGATAGTAATGCTGTTGCCGTGGTGGTAAGGAGGAGGTGGGTGTGAATGTCCTTGCAGCAGGTCAGAAGCATTTGGGCATACTTAGGATTGGGTTTCTTGACTCGTTTCCCTTTCCCCATCTCCTGATTCTCATTTTCAGCTCCACTTTTCTCTGCTGCTGCATTATCATCCGCTCCTTGTTGCACGGAATCTCCTTCAATCTCCCTTCCAATGACGATCACACCGTCTGAAAGTAGGTCTTCAATCTCTGCTGCCACCTTTTCATTGTCCCCCGTGTCAATGATTCGCCATGGGTCGGAGCAGGCCGTGCTAGCAGATTCAGCCACACTCTCCTCCACATCAGAAATTTCAGTTTCTTCCTCACCGGCTTCATTCGTTGAGTTGTCACTCACTTCTTCTCCCTTATCATTGTCTTCTTCACCCTCTTCCACAGCAGTTGAAGGTGAGGACAACGCCTGGACCTCCCACACCCAATCGGAACCCGGCGTAGTGTGGTCTTCGTAGTCGTCATTGTCACCGCTTCCATTGGCTGCCCCTATCCCCTCCTTCTCACTCCCATCTATCATCTCCTCCAGTGGAGTTGGTGCTCCTGCCGCTTCCTTTGCAACAGCTCCTTGTTTCCGTCCCTTCCACTCCAAGTAGGTGTCTTGCTCGTAGAAGGTAACATCTCTGGTAGCCGTAACTTTTCCGGTCTCCACATCGCGTATCACCCACCCTTTGCTCTCCGGGCAGATTCCCAAGTGAATCCCCCACTTGGTCCTTGGGAGAAGCTTATGGTCGGGTCCCGTCGCCTCTCGGTATTGCGTCATGCAGCCCCAAACGCGTAAGAACTCCAGATTCGGCTTCCTCTTGTAGAACGCCTCGTGAGGGGTAACGTCCGCCGCTAGTCCCTTTGTCGGTAGCCGGTTTTTCAGCCAACATGCCATGCCTAGTGCATCTCCCCAGTAGTGAAGGGGCAGGTTGCTATCCGCGAGCAAGCTCCTCACGCCCTCCAGCAGTGATCGGTTCACCCGCTCCGCAATGCTATTGTGTTGAGGAGTGTAGGGGACCGTGAGTTGCCTTCGAATGCCCTTTGATTTCAGGTACGTGTTGAGCTCGGCGTTCACGAATTCTCCCCTGTTGTCCGTGCGTAACACCTTCAGCTTCTTGCCGCTTTGCCTTTCCGCTTCCGCTTGCCAGTCAAGAAAGCTCGTGAGGACTTCCGACTTGTTCTTGATCTCAGTCACCCACGTGTGTCGTGTGCCAAGATCGGTGAAGGTAACGAAATACTTGCTGCCATGTCGTGAAGCCACCCGCATCGGTCCACATACGTCGGCTGCCACAATGGCCATCGTCTCGTATGGCTCACAGACTCCATGCTTGGGATGTGGTGCCTTTGTCGCCTTTGACTCCACTCATGTGCTGCACTTCAGATTTTCCTCTCCACCCTCAGGTACCTTCACTCCCGCTGCCATGTTCTTCTTGATCAGATCCTTGATTCGATAATGACCAGCGTGCCCCATCCTCCTATGCAGCAGGTTGACGTCCACCGTGCTTACTGCTGCTGCCATAGGAAGCGCCTGCTGCTGCAACTCCTTGATCGGCTCCCTTTCGAACTTGATGCGGAGCTCATCTTGTGCCACCTTATCCGCTTCCGGTTCAGCCAGGTACATGACCTTGTCCCCACTCTGTGTCGTGCTATTAACCCATAGCCTGCGGCTAAGTGTGAATTGCACAGCAGCTTAAGGTGAGGTTGTACTATATTGCGGTTTGGTTCTTGTACTCATACTTTCGTTTGTGTGCTTGGAATGTACTGTACATATATGGAGCCGAGCAGGGTGGAGAAGCTCGAGGAATTTGGTGAGGACAGGGTGGAATTCGATTCCAGGCTAGGAATTTGATTCCAGGCTAGGAATTTGATTCCAGCCTGGGAATTCGGTTCCAGGCTGGGAATTCGATTCAGAGAATGCAATTCTAGCTGGAAGTCAGTGCATGCCTAGTGGGCCACTGGGACCCAGCTAGCACCTAGAAGATATCGCGAGCAGCACTGCTGCTATGCGACTTGGCAACTAGAGTTAGCTTGTGGGACAAGCAACCTAGGCAGAAGGATGGCTGGGACTTAGGCAGGGGAGGATACCTGCTCCGTGCTTTTTGCTTGTTTGTTTCTCGTAATACTGCAATTCGTTTCCCAACCAAGGAGGCAAGCAGCTAGGAGAAGCTAACAGCAAACTAACGGAGCCCTTGCGAGGGAGGATATAGACTTGTTGCAAGTGCAGCCTGAGAAACAAGGAGAAGGCAGGAGCAGCATCATCACATACACTAGGAGGAAGAAGAGGCAGACAGACGGCACCGGGACAGGCAAGCAGGCATGAGAGGATGAGGGTGAGAGAGGAGGTGTAAGTACCTGTCAGGAAGAAACAAGGAATTTGAGAAAGAGGAAGAGAAGAACAGTCGGAAGAGCAGAAGGAGGGGAGCTACTTCATCAGCTAGGCATGATTCAGCCAGGCATGATTCAGCCTTGCATGATTCAGCCTGGCATGATTCAGCCTAGCATGATTCAGCCCGGCATGATTCAGCCTGGCATGATTGAGCCTGGCATGATTCAGCCAGGGATGATTAAGCCCGGCATGATTCAGCCTGGCATGATTCAGCTAGGCATGATTCAGCCTGGCATGATTCAGCCTGGCATGATTCAGCCAGGGATGATTAAGCCCGGCATGATTCAGCCTCAGCCAGGTATGATTCATATAGGCATGATTCATCCAAGCGTGATTTTAAAGGCATGATTCAGCCAAGCATGATTCAGACATGCATGATTCATGCAGGCAAGGTTCAGCCTGGCATGATAAAGCCAGGCATGATTGTTCATCCATGCTTGATTCAGCCTGGCATGATTCAGCCTGTCATGATTCAGTTAGCCATGATTCAGCCAGGCATGATACAGCCAGGCATGATTCAACCTGGCATGATTCAGTTAGGCATGATTCAGCCAGGCATGATTCAGCCAGGCATGATTCAGCCTGGCATGATTCAGCCAGGCATGATTCACCCAGGCATGATCCAGCCTGGCATGCTTCAACCTGGCATGATTCAGCCAGGCATGATTCAGCCTGTCATGATTCAGCCAAGCATGATTCAGCTTGGCATGATTCAGCCAGGCATGATTCAGCCTGGCATGATTCAGCCAGGCATGATTCAACCAAGCATGATTCAGCCTGGCAAGATTCAGCCAGGCATAATTCAGCCAGGTATGATTCAGCCAGGCATGGTTCAGCCTGGCATGATTCAGCCAGGTATGATTTAGGCATGCATGATTCAGCTTGGCATGATTCAGCAAGGCATGATTCAGGGAGGCTTGATTCAGCCAGGCATGACAGCCTTGCATGATTCAGCCTTGCATGATTCAGCCTTGCATGATTCAGCCTGGCATGATTCAGCAAGGCATGATTCCAGGCATGATTAAGCCTGGCATGGCATGATTGATCCTGTCATGATCCACCCTGGCATGATTCAGCCCTGAGTGGAGAAAAACGCGTTCAGCGTTTTAAACGCTGACGTTTGAACACTGCGTTTAAAACGCACAACACGTTTTTGGGGGTCCTGAAAACGCTACAAAAACGCATGGCCGGGCAGGGTAAAATAACTACCGGGCAGGCAAAAAAAACTTCCAATAGGGCATCGGGAGGAGGGGGGAAGGATATAGCACAGATTTGAGCAATTGCTTTCCCCCACATAATATTCTTTCCCATCATATTAGTGGGGGGTTGGGAATTTCGGTTGGAGTAGTTTTCGGGGGTCGATTTGGGTTGAAAGGGGTAGACTTTTGGCGAAAATGACATTCGGGCTGACCGGAAAAAAAATCCCCATGTGTTATGCGTTTTTCTGTGCGTTCAGCATTTTGCGTTCAAACGTAGAACGCAAAGCTTCATGTGCGTTTTTCTCCACTCAGATTCAGCCAAGGATGATTCAGCCAGGCATGTTTCAGGATGGCATGATTCAGCCTGGCATGATTCAGCCTGGCATCATTCAGCCTGGCATGATTCAGGCCGGCATGATTCAGCTAGGGATGATGTCACCGAATAGATTGTTGCTTGCAATATATTCTGTTACTCGCTAGTGTGGGTGTAGTAGGGTTAATCAAAGTACTGTAGAAGGTGAGTTTGGTGCGTGGGTAGTGACGCGAAGTGCTGACTCGGACTTGCGAGGCGCATGGTGGGACAAATTCAAGGGCGAGCCCTGGGCAATCCGAAGGGCCAATCTGAAGCCTAGCGGGCGGAGCCCAATGTGACTTACAGGAAACTGCACGGCACGGGGTAGAGACTCAAATAGGCTAGGAACTCACTGCTTAGTTCGTTCTCTTGTTCGTTCTCTTGCTCGTAATAGTGGATATAGGTGGCCGTTTGATAGCTAACTCCAGCTTAGGCGACTAAGCCACTGTGGGCAGCCATACGTGGGGGATGCAGAATCTCTCACAAACAAGAGAACCAAGATCGGGCAGAATGGACTGCCATGAGCTGCAAGGGTAACAAACGTACTCGCGTCGGGAGTTACCACCGCCGCGAAGGATGCTCTCAAAGGAGCGGGGAAGATCGCCAGATCGCTCGCCTAGGAGAGAGGCGGATCGGGTGGATAGGATGGCAACCAGCGACGGACGGCGCGGCGAAGGTGAGCTTGGTCTGCAGATGAGATCAGCGCCAGGACCCCAGCCGACGAGGAGCGATCCCTGGGATCTGGCAAGAGGCCAGCGGGGCGCGGGAGTGAGGCATCAGGAGGATGCCGACGAGACGGACTCGCTGATGTTGGCAAACAAGGCCGACGGCGAGGAGACAGCGGAAGATGATCCAAGGGACGCGGGAGCAGATCGCTCGCCGGACGACATGCGCGAGGGAGGCGAGATGCACCGCGGAGAGAAACGCGAAGAGTGCGGAAAGGCGACGGGATCGAGTCGCTCGACAGACAAAGTGCGCGGGAATGGCGCGAGGCGCGGTGGGAGCGCAGATGCAGACGGATCGGACGGTGAAATGCGCGGGAATGGCGCGAGGCGCTGCGGGAGCGCAGATGCAGACGGATCGGAGGGTGAATTGTGCGGGAATGGCGCGAGGAGCTGCGGGAGCGCAGATGCAGACGGACCGGACGGTGAATTGCACAGGAATGGCGTGAGGCGCCGCGGGAATGCGGATGCGGAGCGTTCTGGTGACGAAAGGTGTTAGGGTTGGTTCGCCCAACCACGGAACCTATGGCGAAAGTCTCTACGACGGCGGAATGACGGCGAAATGGAAGCGCGTGGATGATTCTAGGTGAAACGGTGGAAATCGGCCTACGGTGTGAGAAGGGAGAGAGAAATCGAGAAGGAATGTGTGAGAAGGTGGAAGAAGCATCGAGATTGAAGTTGACTAGGGGAAATTGTGGTTCGAGCTCGAGGCGTGTTCAAGAAGGTTGTAGATTCAGTCTTGAGGAGTGTTCACCGAATTTGGTTCAGTTGCGTGTGCGACTCGGGGTGAAACGAGGTGCACGCGGTTACTTGGGAAATAAGTGAAGTTACGAGTCGCATTTTGTGTTATGAATGAACTTGCAGAGTGCGCAGGATATCGAATAACGAGAATGAACTGATTACCGAATGACGTTACAATGAGAAAGGCACGACTAAATAGGAGAAGTCCTAGCTAGGCGGAGAGGTTGGGCGAGGATGGCTCGGTGATGGTTGCGATTGGAGCGGAGGCGACTCGGGAGTGGTTCGGTGCGACGAAATAGGAAGGACAGGTTTGTCGCGTGACCCCCGGGATGGCCTTGCGTGCCTCAGTAAGGATTCTGGAAATGCTTACACTCTCCCACCTTCTAAATAAGGCAGTCCTGTACTGAAAACGGACCCCACACTAGCAAGGATGCCGTAGATCTCCCCTTCAGCTGAATCCGACGGCCGGAATGCCTTCGATAATATTTTGGAAAAGGTTGGAAGGTAGGCCGTTGATGTAGTCCGATTTCGATCTGACAGTCAACGATGAACTAGCCCAAAATGAAGTTGAAGTTGGAATGTGGGCCGTTGATGGAGCAGATGTGGATCTGACGGTCAAAGACTGACGCAAGATTGGAGGGAACCTGCTGACGCGAAATTCAATCGCGATGTTGCGGAAACCGTTGATCGTGAAGCAGCGATCGCAGTCGTCCGTCGTGCTGCTGCATTCTTACTAAGTCAGAAATTGAGCCGAGAAAACGCCAAGGAAAGAAATAGTGCAAAGCACTTTCTCCCCCCCTCCAAGAAAACACACCAAAATGTTTCCCGCAGCTGTGCCGAAATAAACTCCAACAAAACCAGGTGTTAAGTCCCACTCAGAAAGCCATTGAGCGTAGAAGTCCAGGCGAAAACGTGTCGGTGTGGAGAAGCGATGTCGAAAACCGGGTATTACGTGCCCCAAAAATCGTCGAGGGCGGACCATCAGATGTAGACCACAAACCGAACCAGAAAATATGGAGTACTCGAACTGAACTTTTTTGTCTTCACATCGCCGGAAATCAGGCAATATCTTTAGCAGTTGCAGCTGGCAGCACCTGACGTGGTCGAATTGAATGCAGTTGTCGTGGGAGGAGGCGAGTTGAGTGTTTTGTCGCTTGTAGAGTTGGAAGTCCCGTCCCGAATCCTCTGGCCGTGAAATCGGGGTGTGACGAAAACGTCGTC